ATATTTGAATATTTTATGTGATTGATGAAGTATTTATATATGCATAGTATAGTTATTAAAAAAAATCAAATAGTGATAAATAAAATTCCTGTATATTTATCACAAATCAATACTGTTTATATAAAGGCAAACTAATCTTGCGTTGTTGTTCAATTGTCATCATGGTCACGTGCAGCGGAATTGAACATGGCACGTGAGTCAATTAATTCGGCTATGTCAATTTGTAGTTAAGAGTATGGGCACAAGGTATATGATATAGCTCTCATTGTATCCAGCTGTGGAAATTAATTATTTTCAAACTAATTTATATGTCTTGTTACTCCTATTGTCTTTCTATTATCTCTAAAAAATTAAAACAGACAAATAAACTCGCATTGCAACGTGCTAACGAGACCGCTTGTTAAATTAATTGTGAGAAGAAGATGTTCTATCGGCTAGCCTAGTCAGCACTATTAACAGTTCGGAAAAGAAAGCATGAAAATTATAAATCTGTGGTTAAGTTGTATTTGTATAGTTCAAATCAATCTAGGAAATATGAATTATTACAGCGGAAAATTGGTCGTTCACCAGCTCGATCTGTGACTTATGAAGCTAATCAGCTGACAGGCACACGTTATAATATGAATAAAATACATTATACAATGAAAATTCGAAAATTAAACACGATTTAAAAATAAGGAAATTTTGATATCGAAAATTGCCTGCCTGTCTTATCCGAGTACAGGCATGAGGCCCGTTAGTGATAAAATCTAAGCCTTATCATGGGGAGTAGTTCATATATCATCAGTGTTCCACAAATAATTTACGACAACTCTTCCATTCCTGTCAGCCAAAGCGGGAAGAATCTCGGTTTGATAATTATTATTATACTAAGGTGTGAATAGGCCAAATTAAAAGTGGTACTCAAAGAGCCAGTGGTGCCGTGCGTTGTCTCAATCGACTTGGGATCTTTTTACCAAGTAAAATCGAAATATTGCTAGTGCGGGCCTAGATAACGGTGGTAGGGCCAAGCAATACTGTTGGATGAATGGGCAGGTACGTCCGGGTAAGTACGAAGACCTAACAGTGGACCGGCGTAAAGTAGAAGTGTTACACTTCTGCGTTTCGTCTGATGAGTGAGGTAGCCAGGGCAAACTTTATTTAAAGGTTGCAATGTATTAGCAACCCTACGGGTGTTGCAAATGTCCATGGGCGGCACTTAACATCAGGTGAGCCGCCAGCTCGTTTGGCAACTTTTCACATAAAAAAAATGATTTTCGCTTGAGCTGACATGCTCCTATAATTTTTAAGTCAAGTGCTACTATGTGAGCTGCTAAAATTATTATAAAGGAGTAGTTATAATATAATCAAGCTCTAATTTGCTTATATTAAACAAAATTATTGCTTACTACTTTGGCTACTTTGACCTGTATGCAGATTATCTTAATAAACTCAACCGACTTCTAAATAACTGTATCCGATTTGCCAACGACGCAACATTCTTTAATATACACTCTTTATTATTATTTTGATTACCTTTCTACCTCACTTTGAATATCTCTATTCTAATTTTTTTTTAAATAACTTTACATAAAGTAACCATATGTCAAATAAAATTACGTACACATACGTTCCTAAATGCTCAGTTGGATGCACAATTTTCTTCGAGGCGCTAACGGCCTGATTCCGTCTTCCAAGGGCGCATAAAATTAATTGAATCAAATGCAAAGTTTATTTCTCATGAATTGCAGCGTCGTGTTAAGACTGGAGCTTGAAATTTCTGACTTAAAGAAATTTAGTATCCTACAGGTCTTTTATTGAATAAGGTTTTTATTTATAATGCCATACTCAAAGACCTTAATGGCGTAGGTAAACTGTGATGATACTAAACTACAACGATTATATTTTTTTAAATATCCATATTATGATTTTTTTTGTTAAATATAACATTTTTAATGTGATGGTCAGCTTTGCAAACGGGTATATAATATGGCTCTTTAGAGCCGTGATAGCTCAGTATCCGGGCGCTCGTCGTTAATTCAATATACTCGAGCAACCTGAGTTCGATCCCCGGTGCCGGCACCAATGAAAGTTTTTAACTTTGAGTGCTGACTTATCACGTGCTCCGCGGTGAAGGAAAACATCGTGAGGAAACCTGCATATTTTCGAAATAATAACAAAAAAAAAATATTTTCCGAAGATATGTGAAGTCCGCCAATCCGCAGTGGGGCCGCATGGTGGACTATGCCCTGATACCCTCTGTGCAGAGGAGGCCTTTGCCCAGCAGTGGGACATGTATAGGCTGTTACTTTACTTACTTTTTTTATATAATATCGCAAGGCACAAATTAAATCGTGTTGTACCATACCGCAGGTATTTTGTATTGTATTGTTTTGTTTGTAGCATATCGTACGAGAACACAACTTATAGAAGTATAATTGTCGACGTATTTTTATTCCGTTTAATAAAAAGTCAAATATTTCATACACTAAATGATTATGAAAACTTGATGTCATCGGGTGTTTTTATTCCGTTTTTATAACCATTACATAATATTCATGGTAATTATTTGTTCAAGTTCAAGTGCAATTTCGGTTTCAGCCAGTTGCAGACAAAATTGCAATTTCAGCCTCAGTTTTGATTTTTGCCATAATTCGAGCGGACGTGCGGCCGTTTGTAGTCATTTTGTATGTATTTTTTCGTTAATTTCAAATTATGAATTTGCAAATTAATTTACCGGATCAGAACTAAAAAATTTAAGACGTATAATCAGTGGCGGATTTGTAGTCTTACCCGCCCTAGGCCCCAGCCCCTGTAGTAAGTTCCAACCGCCCACATCTCAGCGCCCATCATGTATCTCGTTATCATCAGTGATTTTTTTTCACGACTGGCCGCCCGTAATATGTGGCCGCTCTAGGCCCGGGCCTTTTGGGCTTTAGGGCAAATCCGCCACAGCGTATAATGATGAAATGCACAGCCTTAGCAGTATACTGTTTGTCTTCGAAATTTCGAAAATTAAAAGTAAATAATATAAGTTACATTTACACAAAAGAGATGGCCTATTTCGGGCCTTTTTGTTATTAGAGAGGGGGAAATCTTCAAAAAATTATTAAAAAAATAGCTAAAAACACTAACATAAAAGTTTAAATTTTAATAATTTAAATATTCCTTTTCCTGAAGCCACTCCCTTAAATTAAACAATTATATAAAACGAATTATTAACCGACTCTATTATTGTTATTTTATTTCAATGAACTTAATTTAAACGCCTACACATGAAAATATGTTTCGGTTCTGGCTGACAATCCTTTGTTATGATTATTTAATCTTTTAAATAATCTTGAAATTTGAAGACTCATTAAAGCTCGTTTATACGTAGATACATTATTCACTGTTGAGATAATTTTAGATGGTTTATCATAAATACTGTTCATCATAAGACAAAACCGTTCCTACAAAACCATTATTTCCAATTTTGCAAGCACTGTTTCGTCCTAATATAAAGGAGTCATAAATCTGGAACATTAAATTCGGAGCAGAACAACATCATTACGCAGAATGAAATGTGTCCCAAGGAAGTTGAGTATACTTCCCTCAAATTATTACACTTCCAGCAGCCGCAGTAGGTTTAAATTATCTTGGCGTACAATAAAAGCTGCCTGAGATATATATTGTACAACGAGACCTCGTCATGGATTGTTAGAGGCTATAGTCCAAATATCCTTGATGATTTATAGCTTTCAAATTGTGCTGAACAACTTACATGATTCATCTAGAACTAGCTATCCGCCCCGGCTTCGCACGGGTGCAATGTATTATACACTAGCTGCTGCCCGCGACTGCGTCTGCGTAGTAATAGGCTGAAGGTGTAATATTAAGACAGAAAGACAGATATACATAAAATATGTATATAAATTATAGCCTATGCCTTATTCTGATGTAAAGGCTATATTATTGTAAAGTTTCATCAGAATTCATTCAGTAGTATTTGCGTGAAAGAATAACAAACATCCATCCATACATACAAACTTTCGCGTTTATAATATTATTAAGGATATAAGTAAGGATATAAACCTTCTCCTTGAATCACTTTATCTAGTAAAAAAACCGCATTAAGATCAGTTGAGTAGTTTTAAAGATCTAAGCATACATAGGGGCAGACAGACAGCGGGACTACTTTGTTTTATACTATGCATCTAGAATAAATATTTTTCTCACAATGTTTCAGATATCTATATAATAGTTATATATTTCTTGTCGTAACAAACCTAAATATTTACGTCTTGCTGTTAAACTTCAACATCGTGAAGTAAAAAAATTTGACTAGGCCCCTAAAAATCTTTTAAGAAATTAACTAACGTATATATAGAGTTTAAAAGGAATAGCTTAACTTCTTTCATATCTTTATCCGGACAAGTTATAACATTAAAGCAATAAATACTGCGGCTGTCATCTGACTCTCGTATAAGTTACTCTCATTATGCGATTGTCTTAACTGCCGCTTGCAAAAGGTTGTGTGGGTATCTGAATAGCGCCCCCACCGCGATGTCATCTACAGGAACAATGTTGCCGAGATTTTTATTATATATGTGGTAAATTCAAAATAGCTTTACTTTCTATAGATATTGATTTAATTATTCAATTTCAAATTTATACCCAACGGGGTTTGTTTAGTTAATTCATAATAAACAATAAGAATTTATGAATTATTATTATCATAAATACCATGAATTGTATTTATTTCTGGAGTGGGAAACAGTCAAAACTATTCTCGTAAGTTTCCCAAATAAAAAAAAAATACTTAATTTTGACTCGGAATCGAACTTGTTACAAGTTAAGGAACACTAACATTTAAGTCTCATGTATTAGAAGAACTCAAGGAAAAGCAGTATATAAGGAGAATGTTTTCCGCACCCTCTCAGTTTGTTTACCGACTTGACCGCCTGCAGATCATTTAAACCACGTGTAATGTTTTCTCGTTTCTTTAAAAATATTACAGCATAAACACTCTTATGAGTAGAATGGGTCAATTCTATTTGTCTTTTTTAGCGTTTTTAGTGTTCGTTTTGCCTTTGGCGAAATGTACAGATTTGGGAAAAGATGGTTTTAATTTCTATAAAGGTAAAAATAAATCTAAATCTTATATAATAAGTATATGCAATGTGACAGCTGTAAATTATAATAAACTTTTGTATCATACTACTATATATAGAGCGATTTTTCCTTTGCGGCAGTACAAACAGATTTTATCGTTTCGTTTCAAAAGGGTTTCTTTCCACTTTCTCTTATTTTTTTCATCGCAGACAAAGATGGCGATGGAATAAACGAATACAAACGATACCTTACATTGAAGAAATATCTTATTTGTTTTTCCAGATTACCTACGGGCCCGTTCGGAGGATAATTTAGACGATGCGCCATTACCAGAACGAATGCTATGTAAGTGTTATATTTTCCTCTTTTATTTTTGGTACGACCTTTGCGTATTTTATTTTATCGTATATCGTATGCCTTCAAAAACTTTAGCTTGTTGATAAAGTCGAATGGTTTTAGTTCTAACAAGACCGGGAGATAAAAGTCATTATGAAATTTAATTGAAGAAACCTTAAGAGTGCACATAACATTCGCTTCTTGTTGTGTTAAAAATATTTGAATCTGGTTCATACGAATTAATTTAGTACATACCGTTAAAGTGCTCTTTCAATTTCAGTACAGAAGTTTTTTTGGCTCCGGCTACCACACTCACCAGACGAAACGCGAAAGTATTATACTTCCACTTGACGCCGGTCTTCTGTGACATCGTGGTACTTACCCGGACGAGACTGCCCATTCGTGCAACAGCCGAGGCTGCTGCGTGGCCCTACCATAGTTAATTGTATAAGCGTGGTTCTGTAAGAATATTAAGGAGAAAGAAAGCAGTTACTGCAATCGATATTGATTTAGGGCAAGAACAGTCATTAAGTAATGAAGTTTCTAGATTACCTGTGAAATTAAAATGACAATTTATAGGTCTGCGGGGGTATTTTGCATTTATAAATATTTAAACTACTACTGTAGCTAATATAAGAAGAAAACGAAACGTTGTAGCTGGCAATTCATCTCATGTTAAGTGAATCCCGCTGCCAATTAGCAGCAACAAGACCAGAAGTGTTGTGGTTGCGTTCCAACCTCTAAAAAGTCGGCCCCGGTCACCTCACTCAACAGTTAAAGTACGAAACTATCGTACTTTCAGTTCACTTCTGCCTTAAATTAGGCCGTAGTACTTCCTCGAAGAAGCCTCCATAATCTTGTAACACCAAAATATTCTCCGCGTCTCTATAACATTAGCAGCTTCGGTTAAAATAGATGAAAAATTTTATGATAGCTATAGTAAAACCACAAACTTTAATTTGCTGTGTATTTAGAGTCTCAGAGAAATTAGGTAATTGAATTTCGAATCCATTTGAAAAAAAAAAAAACTAGTTGATTTGAAATTCACGTGCTTAACCATCCCTTTGGCAACTCAATTGATATTGAACATTTGACAACTGATTCGTTAATTTCTACACTGATCAGTCTTTCAGAAACCGGGCGTAAGTCTTAGACGGAATTTATTTCTCTTTATTAAGTCATATGGTTATGCAGTAGCGGAATATTTGGACATCCCATGACGCTACATAACTACAAACTTCATATCCTTTACAAACTGAAAATGCTTACATCTTTACCCCTGTAAAATGAATTGGAAAAGTAAGATGAAAAAAATAAATCTGACTATCGATATAATAATTTCGATACAAATAAAACATGCAGATATTGTTTCAGTTCATTAAAGCATCGATAACTTTATACGATTATTGACAAAAATGTATAAATTTAGACCCTAAATTTTAACATATTGTGTTAATTTCATTAAGACACAAAGTTATGTTTTAGCTCTATCTACACAATAACTTTTGTTCGAGTAAATGAAAGGTAAAGGTTTGTACACAAATGAAATAACTGTCTTTATTCTTCAGATTTTTATCGAACACCGGTTCAGCTGAGTTCCGGTGTCATACCGTTTACGGACCAAGAATACAGAAAGCGGACAGGAAATGTATTTAAAAGTAAGAATAACGAGTTATCTTATTATTTTGGTCCCAAAACATTTATTTCATGAATTGCGTGTGAATTTATCCGAGCCTTTTTTTGAGTATTAGTCTGTTGCAAGTTGTTTAATAAAGTGAAAATCACCTGTGTCACGACCCAAAAGTTAACCTTCTGATAGCATTTAAAGTTTCTTTACAGGACCTAACTGATCATCCCGCGTTAACGTATTTATATCCAATATAATTTTCATGTAATTGTTGTGCCTATGTTAGAACCACCATTAGTTGAATTAACCCATGGAAGCCGATAAATAGGACTACGGTAAACATGTCAAACGTCAGAGTAAAGACTAACCTCACGCTTAAGTAAATAACAATAAACGCCGGTGGAACAATCAAAAGGTACATGTACTTCGGCTTATTAGCTGTTTTCAACTTACGGACACTAAGAGCTTAAAATGACTATTGGTCGAAACGAAATATCTAGACTTCACATTTTATCAAACACGGTAAGTATATGAGCCTGCTTCGCGATTTTGCAAAGTGTGAATGTATTAGGTACAGTGCCGGATTAAGCAAGAGCGGGACCCGTAGCAAATTCTTTCAAACAGCCCTTAAATTTTTATTTGGGTTCTTAAGTATAAAGTGATAGAAAAATAATTCAATAATCTTACTTCTTTAATAACGTTTTATACGGCCTTAAAGCCGCCTATTGTACACTTTAGTATTATTTTTGTTGATTATTCAAGTTAGTGCACAATAATGTTAATTTCATTTCATTAAACTTTCAATAAAAATATTAAGGCTCATGCAGAGATGTGTGGGGTTAATACATGCGGGGCCCTTTTTGGCGCGGGGCCCGTAGCAATTGCTACTCTTGCTGAGTGGTTAATCCAGCACTAATTAGATATTCAATCGCTATAGAGCAAGCGGTGCACTTGTAAGCGATCACCAAAGCCACAGTCATCCGTGACTTGCCTTGGTTACTATACAAACCTATAAGAAGTTTAGTGAGTGTAAAATAAGACTTGGACAAGGCGAAATGAAGTACAGAAAGTTAAAAAATGTATTAATAATAGTTGTTCTCATAAAGTGGCAAATGAAATATGACTCTGAACTGGTCACATATTAGGACTTTATTATCGAAATGGTAATTAATCTTTTCTACTTAACTCAACAAATGTACATCAAATATTTGCAAAATGTATAAACAAAATGTCGTGATAGTAAGGTGTTCCGAACACCAATAAATATATATTGAAATCAATAACCTTACACAGTTCTAAGCGTTAGAGCGAAAGCGAAAATCTGCGAAAGCTTGTGGTTAAGTAATATGATAAGCCCGTTTTTGTTATAGATCATATGCTCAACAAAGAGTTATGGATTGGTGAGATGCCGAAAAAGCGTACATCGAAGACTGCATTATCGTTAATGTTACATACCAAGCACCCGTATCACATGTAAGTCGATAATTTGCATTTTTATTAAATAGAAATAATATAAGACGATTACACTTGGGATTTTATGCGAAAAGTTGCTAAGCGACTAGACGGTTGACCTGATGCTAAGTGAATACCGCCGCCCATGGACATCTGGTACACCCGAGGGTTCCAGATGCGTTGACAACCTTTTTAAAATTCTCACTCACCAGACGAAACGCGAAAGTATAATAGTTCCATTTTACGCCAGTGTTCTGTGAGGTGGTGGTACTTACGAGCCTGCCCATTCAAGCAACAGCCGAGGCTGCTGCGTGGCCCTACCACCGTGATTTGGTGACAGAATTTATTAGCGTTATAAATTATACTGCATGACATATATTTACCAGTTTCAATTCCATTATTTCTTTTTTAATTACAGGTCAAACAATATTTCCGAAGAAGAAATTTATGTATCTGCCCCACAATATTGAATACGAACAAAAATAAATCTTTAGTCAACTTTAATCATTAGTATAAAAATATATACATATAGTATGTTGAGCATTTCAAATGAAACAATTTTCGTTTCTAAATGATAAATTCGCACGTGCCAGAAATAGTACTAAAAAAATACAGAAATAAATATTGAATTATAATTATATGTTTTATTCTTCGGACACATCCACACTTGTCAATAAATCTCAAGATCATGGTTTATTTGTCGTTTCAACGCGCGTCTGTTGTTATGCTATGTAGGCACTGATAGTGGAAGTCACAACTCTACTAAAACTATTTTTTGTAGAATTTTAATCGCGATACAGCCTACATTAAAATGAAAGAATAATATGAGTGAAAACCAATATTTAAGTAATCTTATGGAGGTCCCTTTAGGATATACTGTGTCTATTCTCTATTTCAAAATCAAAATATAAGGGAATAGATTTGTTTGAGACAAGAAATTTTTGAATGAAACTGAATTGTTTTTTCGGAGTGACATAATAATTCAACCCGTTGAGAAGTTATTTTATTAACTTTCTCTTCACAATTATTCATATGTTTCTTTTTTTCTTGTTTTTAAAAAACTTTGTCATTACTTTAGGATAATATTATCTTGTGTTGTAATGACGTTTTACAAACATATATTTCACGCAGACAAACACCCAGATGCGAAACAACTATCTGTGGGTCACACAAATAGTTGTCCCGTGTGAGAATCGAACCCACGACCCCTGACATGTTTAAAAGCTATTAACGTATTTCCAGTTATGAAAATCGTTCATTCATTTGGTTGGGACAAAAAAGTGTGTGTACTTATGTAGCCATGTAAAAAGTTATTCTAATTTAGCGTAATAAAAGAAAAATTAAAATCTTGTCTTCTATTTATTTATGAAAAAGACATTAAATGCAATTGATAACAGTTTAATTATAAGCCTTAAAATTATAGGTAAATTTCAAACAGTTGTTATTGGTTGTCATGGTAATGCCGTGAAGTAGATCGTAGATGGCCGCTTTTTGTAATTTGTAACTGACTTCATCATGTTGCTGTCGGTGTGCGTGCTCATCGTTAAAATTTTACACTTTTTTTTACTTTTTTCTTTCTAAACGCGCCAAAAGAAGTATAACTTCAAAAATCCTTTTTTTTTTATATAATTTTTGATTCCGTAGTTATTTTATATTAAGCAGTGACTGATATATTACGATTAAAATTTTAAGCAGTGCTTTTAGTAATTGAAGCTTTTATAAAAGATGTAAGCTTCAACCTGGTCGAGAAATGGATCAAAAATATGTCGGAGCCACCGGGGACTGAATTCGCGAACATTCGGAATTTCCAAAGAAATCAAAGTGCATAGTTTAAACGCAATTTAATGACAAATTATTTAGAATAAAGCAATAGTTATCAATAACAACTTACTTAAAGATGTTGTTAGTAAAATGTTACTCATTAATTTCATTACGTTGATAAAATAATAAACTATATTTCTGCAGTGCGAGACCGCGAACTAATCTCACTCACCCTGATGAAGGACCTCCGATGAGTCCGGAACTAGTCGGTACATTCACCGGGTTTACGTGAGTTCAGCCATCTTATTATTACGTTAATAATGTCTCGCGAAAGTTTTAATAATTTTGTATTCCTAAAGAAATAAATACTATACTATTTTTGACTCACGCAGTTCTGGGTTCTAAAATTAATAAAAATATTTTAAAATATTTATTTTACTTTGACCCGTGCCTGCTAGATCGTTGTCTGCCACAACTAAAACGTATTAAAACGCATGATGTGACCTAGCTTTGAGACACTCAAATGCAAATAGGCTGAACAAGGAATAACTGTAAAATATTGGACTTCAGTCCGTAAACTGACATCTATCGAAACTATTTGCACAAATCAATGAAATTGAAATACGTCGTTTTAAAATGGTGCTCATAATAAACAGATTTTACCCTTCTGATGAGAAGAAGAATCTATATATTTTTTTATTTTTTTAATAAGCATTGCCCTCACTTTAGGATAACATTATCCTGTGTTAAACGGACGTTTTACAAACATAAATTGCACGAGGACAAACACCCAGATGCGAAACAACTATCTGTGGGTTGCACAAACGGTTGCCGCGTGTGGGAATCGAACCCACGACCTCCAACCCCGAAGCCAATACCTTGGCAACTGCGCTACAGGGTCATCAGCTTAAATGATAAAACTGCAAAAACATAGAAATCTTCATCTGACTATTCTAACTCTTTTAGTTTAATATATTCGAACAACCAGAATTCAAGTCACCCTGCCATCTGACTGCCAGCTGCCAGCTAAGATGACGAGACTAAAATGCAGATTTATTACGTAATGGGTAAGAAATGATAGTGTTATGAGTATCTAAGAATGATCCGATTGGCCGATTTCCATTATACAAATTGTATATGTAGGCTGTTACGTTTACCTATAGATAGACCCTCACTCACACGAGGTTTAAAAAAAATGTAACATAATTTCTATTAAAATCTCCCACTGGCCAATCTTAACGATTATCTGATTATCTCCATCGTAGTCGATTCTGTACACTGAGTCACGATAAAATACTTTCTGATCCCCGTTCTGTGGCTAAAATTTGACTGACCAGTCACTAAGTTTCCGTCCAACCTTTTTTTTTCGTGTCGAACAAAAGATTCTCTACTCTAATATTTGCCTTAAAAGTCATGGAGGAAATACTAGAGCTCTATATTATTAGGCAGTCTTAACAAAGCAGCTCTATAAAATAGCAGATTATTTTAAATCCTACCACTGCGCAATCCTCCATTTCCTTTGTACGGATATAATGTAATGTGTGTAATATTAGTATAAAGTGTGATGTTACCCGAATCTCCTGTATAATTACATATCTTATATTATTTAAATTATTTTTAAGTCACTTGCCAAGTCATGAATAAAATACTTTGAAAATTATTTCATATTATTTCTTATTGTCAAAATCACAGAATTCAAGATGAGCATCTAACAAAAATGCACGCGGATAAGACAAAAGAAAAGATATGGCAAAAGCTGAAAAAGATAATGAAGGAACCATTGTTTTCTTAATCCAGTGTCTCCGCAACGCTCACAAGAGTACAAAAGACAACTAAATATTATTCAAGCTTACGAATAATACGCCCGCATAATACAACGAAAGCACACAAGACCTCGACAAAACATTTTAAGCATAGCTATCACGGAAATTAAAACAACTTACTTTTGTTAACTTCAATATTCTCAAACCATTATTAAAAATAAAATCTTATAATTTATTAACTCTTTTTTTCTCATATTTTATTCTTCTAGCTTTACCCTCCAACTGCATTTATACTCTCACTCTTTTAGTCACATGATTTTCATCCCTTCTCATAACGTACCCATTCCATGTCTACCTACGAGTTATTCTTTTCTGTGACTGGTGCCACTTTCAAGCTTTCCCTCTTTAAATTTATTATCTATAACCAACATTTTTAAAATATTCCATGCTTTATTAGTTTTGCATAAAAATACTATTATCATAATATCCAGTGAACAGAAGACAATGCCTACAATCATTTAATAATGGTAACATTATTAAGATATATTTTGTTTATATTATTTTTACTTATAAATGATTATATAAAAAAATTGTATTATAATAAATAAATAAAAAATTAAGTGATATCATTTAAAATTTATTATACATAACAATAAAGATAATAAAGATAATACAAAAAAGAACTAAATATTTACTGCCAAAATATAATTTTAACAATATCAAAACCTAATAATAGTAATACATTTCTAGCAATTTATTTCTTATGGATTATCTTTTTATTAAAAGGAAGAAACTATGAACGAAAATATAAAGGTATGAGAGGTACGTAAACAAACTTGTGTGGCTTTGAACACTCCTTGAATGTATGTACGGACAGAAATTTTATTTGTTAAAGTATCTAGCCGCACGTTAAAGGAAATGGAATGGAGCTCCAAGTGTCTTGCAAACATTTCTATGTTTGCACCATCCTGGAATCTTGCGCAACAGAGCGATATGTGCTCTAGTACTGACCGGAATTTTCGTTGGTACAAAATTTCTGTTCTTCATACAAATTGTTGAAATGATTAACTATGAATACTTTATCACTCTGCCTTTTCTTTAGCCATAAAGTACATTTAAATGCATTCGCTAACAATAAGAAAAAAAGGAATAGCAATACATTAATGTATTAGTTAAATCTAATCACCATCAAAATAAGACCAACGATAAGTTACATTTGTGTGCAATTCCATTCATCTGCGGTATTTAAATTTAGAAAGTAATAAATTAAAACATTAATAAAATTAGAGCGATATTGGAACCTTCATTCTACGTGGTTTCTGAACATTTTTAATTTAAACTGCATTTTCAATTTGTTTTTTTTTTTTTTTTTCCTAGGCTTAACGCCGCGGCTGGTGACAAGAGAGCTGGTTCTTTTCTCGCGCAAAGGTTGAGCATAACTATTCAGCGAGGAAATGCAGCTAGCGTTCTTGGCACCATGCCGCGTGGATTAGGTTTATTAGATAATATGTAATTTTAGATAGATTTAATCTTGTAAATATTAGATCAATAAAGATTGTCTTTCCTTTTTTTGTCATGGTTGTAATAGAAAAAATGTACACATCTTCTATATAAATAAAATTTTTTATAGTGCTTTTCTAATAATTATTCTGATGCTTACCTGAAGAAGGCTGTATCTTAATTGTTACTGGGAAGCTTAAGGTGATTCACAAACCTATAGAATATTATTTAATGCGCTAGCAAGTCACATCTGATTACTATTGTTAAAATAAGAGTCATGCAGATTGATCATGTAGGGACAACCTAGTATCACCCATTATTCCGTACATATATAGTAGACTTTGAATAAATTCTTTAACTAACAAATTCATTCGGAGATAAAGAAATATAACCCTTTGGCTGCCCTAGAAATAGTACTTATATGCAATAAAAATAATAAATTT